TTGATTCACTTTAGTTCAATTTTTTTGAAATGTTAATAATATGCGACTGGTAGTAACTGATGAATTTATCGTACAGTGGGATGATGCAGAAGTCAAAATCAGTGTATCTGCAAAATGGAACAATTGAAAACCATAAATTTGAAATGAAATGATATTTTGTTGGACGTATTATGTAAAGCACTTATATTAAAGATCGAGCAAATTTTTTTGTTAATTTTCTAATTTCCCCGGTGAAAAATCGATCTAGACCCCTTCAGATGGCACCGTGCCAATAGAATTGGAGTGATAAATATATCACAGTGCTTTGGATAACCCGTTCAGACATATTATTTCGAGGTATGCTTTTCATTACAAATACATCAGTGGCAGTACGATACTAAGACATTCGTTAGTCGTTCTTTCATTACATTCTAAAATAAGCTTGGATATGAACATTTTCAATTTTAAATTATCAGGTGGGTTTGGTGACAATAAGTATTACGGTAGAACCGATAAACTTTTGATTTTTTCAAATATTCAACGAAAAGAGCTTGTGAAAGTAGGAAACCTTACGACTGGCCAGGAACGATAATTATTTCACCGGCAGATTAGCAAGTAAACAACAACATAAACTTAAAAACGAAGCATTACAGATCATTCGGAAATGTAAGTGGATTTAAAGATATGATGGAAGATCTAAGTGGTCAGATCCAATTAGGATGAACATATGTTCATGTCTTAGTATTTATTGATGGAAGCGACGCTTGTGCACCAAACTGCTTTTGACATAAATGACAACTCCATTCTCCTTCTGGAGCTTGTGGAAGCGGTGGACGCAAACAATAAAGATGGAAGCCACGATCACAATCATCACAGAATAACAGTTGATCCTAGAAAATATATTCCTCTAAAATCATTAGTAATTTTTTATGGAACATAGAAAAAAGTATATAAATTTGAAACATATATCAATATGATTTAAAATATATTCAGCATAGCATTTATCTACAATAAATTTTACGAAAGTTAAAACGTAAAATTAGTATTAAAGCGAGGAAATCGGAATTAAAATACAAAGAGAACTAAACTAACATCATTATCTGAGAATCCACAAATTGCACAGCTTTTACACTCAATGCATTGCCAACCGTATTTGCCCGTAGATGTAAGCATATTGTCCGTGAACTTAAGGCAGCTCGGATGGCCTATAAGAGAGAATTTGAACTTATCACAGTTAAAATCTATGAAGATTACAGTCAATCTAACTACACAGTTGAGATCTTCAAGTAACAATATCAAAACAAGAATTACTCGTCTTTCTAACAACTGAGACCATAAACTCTACATATAATGGATTATATAAGATGATCATATCCAACTTACACAATCGTGGTCGAAACATAAGTTGCAATAAATGACCCGAACAGCGTGAAGTAACACCAAGTATATAATATGGATTTTTATAACGTAATATCATGATATTTATGTATACTGCAACACGGTTACCTGATCTTCCACAATCATGACAGCTAATAAGCTGTTCTGGCTTCATTGTTTTTTTGTTCTGGTTGCAATCACCCAAGCATAAATCGCAAACTGTGGACACATCGATACTCGGCGACAGCACTGAAAAGCACTCATGATGAGCAACCCGCAAGCAACACAGACAATCCAATTTAAGCATGCTGTAATGGATGCAGCATATCTTCCAAACAGCTACGATAGCCTCCGCATCTGTTCCACTATTTCGAGACCAATTTTTATCCACGGTGATAGTTCAGGAATGGGATACACGTGCCTATGCCCACTCATGCATCTTCGTAAAGACATTGCAATCGATAAGCCACCTTAAAAATTAAGCAATCTCTGACCTTCTGGTGATTTCCAAATTTGAAATGCCTTCAGTTTTTCCGATTTCTTCAAAATACTACGCTTTGTTGTGTTATTGCCGAAAAAAGCCTTATTGGAGAAAGTTTTTATACTTATTAATATATATATATATATATAAAATACTAATTGGACATTTCCGAAAGCAAATGGATAACAACAAATGTGTATCACCGAAAACAAGCATTTTTTGATACAGTTATAGTTTGATAAAGTAAACCCGTTTGAATCGTTGTAATGATAAGCTGAGAAAGTTCTGGATGCTACCCGGAGATGATAACTACCCAGATGTTTGTATCCCTCAGCAATAAATAAACTGGTAACCAATAAAGCAAAAGAATCAATCAATACGATGTGCTGGTTGGGGCGTTGTCGACGGACTGACATTATCTGCATGCACATGAGCTCGGTGATAGTTTAAACCCGGACGACTTTTGTATTTGGCACCACATACTGAAATGATATGCATATAAACCAATTAAAATAAAATAAGCTTAGCATTAAATGTTGCTAAATTTGAGAAACCAAAACTAAAAAAATTTTTCAAAATTATTTACTACAGGGAAAAGAATGCCCTACCGGGATTAATAACATCCTCATTGATACTATAAATGAAAACTGTCTGTATTGGGCAAAAAAAATTTCCAGAAATCTTGAAACACTCACAATTACATGAAAAAGGTTTGGGGTCTGGTGTGAATCCCTGCGTAGGCGGAATGTTGACTGATAAAGTTGTAGCACTTTTGCGCCCGCCGCGGCTCCCACCTGGAGCACCTCTCCTTTTACGTTTTTTCCTTCCATCTGACCATTCTTCCTCATCTGAAGCTTCGCCAGGATCTTCCTCGCTTGGTTCCTCCACCTCCATATCTACTCCCGATTCCTTCATAACCTGCAAAAATGCCATTATGAAAATTTCTTCATCAACATCTACCAAGGACGAATAAAAATCGATAGTTAACCGGCTCATAGTCAGCAGCGCTACCAGTTGATATCTTTCTAAATTTTTCTTTTCACGGTAAAGAGAAAAGTTAGTCATAATACTTGAATCGATATAAGCCTCTTTAAAAAGTCTGTACACAAATTGAAATGAATAATGTTGAAAATCAGCCATTTTCTTCTTTTTATCACAAAATGTCGAACATAAACTACTTAAAACTTACATAGACTTTTCTTTTTTCAGTAAAATGATTTTCTAATGACGAATTCGCCATCGCTGTTAGCGATTGAAAATCAGTTGGATCTAAAAAAGAATATTGAGAGAGCAGAAGTTCTGGTAGTATACATGATTGCTGGAATGGAATACAAAGTTCGCTTTCTTATTAACGAAGGGCATCACGAATACTTCGCAATCTTCTCTTTGTCAAGAATTGACAGAAAATTTTATGAAGTCACTTTAAAGCAAAAAAAATTACATACGAAAATTTGCAAAGAAATAAAGGAATAAAATTCTGATACTTACCTTGGCCAGCTGAACTGGCTTGATTTATCACATCACTAATTGCTGGATTACATTCTAATATATATTTCATTTCGGTCGCATCCGATGTTGGCGCTGATTTTCGTTTTTTCCAACGCCTGCTACCATATGAGCAATACTGTCAAAAAATTTGCAGTTAGGACAAATAATAATACGAAAGAAACTCTATTACGAAATTGAAAAGTAAAACTAAAGTGGGAAATATATTAAACAATAGAAAAGATTCACACCAATGTGTGAAGACTGTGTCGAATGAGAAGAAATGATACGGTAGAAAAGGTAACACGAAAATGAGTAAATATGAAAACATTATTACAATCACTCTTATGACAACAAAAGCAACAATAATAAGGACATGATATTTGAACTGCGACTAAAATCACAACGAATACAATACACACAACGACATGAATTACTTCAATGTAACAACAACAATAAAACAGTAACAATAACTGTAAACATAACGAGAACACAACAGCAACAATTCCTATCCGCTAATGACAACACAACCTTCACAGATATATCAACGACTTCGAAAACACTAATAACAATCGTAAAACGAATAAAAGTTGGAACTTTTAATTTGCACTAATGACTTGGTGGCAGTAATGCAGAATTTAGGATAAAAACCGAAATGTGGACAGTTCAGCACTCGTGGGTTCCATCCTTTTTCTTTCTTTTGATTTCTTACTTGCTTCTCTATTTGTTTGCCAAATTTAGATGTAGTGTCTACAACCCAACAAGAAAGAGTTCAAAAATCTTAACTTTATGGAACATTAATTAATACTTCACTATAAAAAGAAAAAAAAGTGCAGTAAACCTGGGAAGGATTCGATGGTGGATATCGATTTGATAGTTCGTAAATGGCATGATGTGATGGATGTTGCGCTATACCAGTCTGAGGATCTAACACTGTATATCGACCTTTCCGTTCTGTTTCTACCCGACTGTTCCATTTCGAGCAATTCTTCATCATTTCTATATACAATGATTCAGATATCATTTCAACCTGAAAATGACACTATCATACGCTTCATCTTCACAGCTATCAGAAATGATGACATATGCTAAGCCCGGTTAACCTGCCTTAGACACACATAATCGCAGCCTAGTCATTTGAAGATCATTGTCCACCACGCACCCTGACTGATTTTCAACCAACAAACTCGCCTGGACGAACCATAAATTCCTCATGGATGGTTCGGCCACAAATCAATTATGTATGCATATATGTACGTCAATTATGTGTGCATGCGTGTTTGAATTAATCGGGGAAGAGATTGGTTATAATTATTGATTTAAGATTCCGGCCAAAATTTAATATTTCAGAATCCGCTTAAAAATAATGATTTATAAAAAAATCAAATTTAGTTAATTTATCCTGCTGAATTTTCAATAAAGATTGGTTTTAATTAATTCTAATTTTTCAGTTTCGTTTTTTATAGCAAAATCTAGTAAAGCTATTTATTGCTCTCGAAGTTTGAAGGAAAAATTATCTAATTGCAATTTGTTTGCTTCCAATAAGTTGTGATGAATATTAATTATTCTCATTGGGAAGACAGCTTCCTATAGAGTTTCTTACAGTTTCCTATAGATTTTTTAAAACAATTCCATAACAAGAAAATTTCTATAGTTATTGCTGCAAAAAATCAGGGCGATGAATATTCCCAATGGTTTGACCAATAAACTCGTGCAACATTTGATTACCGACAAGAATATTAAATGCCTACTGCATCGTTCTGTGCAAATTTTATCGATTTATGATGCAAGTTTGATTTACTTGTCTTACTAACAATCTTTTGGTACCAAATGTGACAACTCGTCACTTTTTCTACATATTGCCATAGTTATGATAAAAGAAGCTTGGACATTCGAATCAAATTAATTTTTCAATTTTTAGTTAAAATCGTTGAATGAGATAAACATATATATATATACATATATGATTATCTCATTATATATTTAGAATGAATTACATATCTGGTAGTAGGTTACATAGATGAGAAAAAGTACATATATAGAGAAATAAATTTACACTAATGTTGATAAATTAATCATAAATATCGTGTGATAAAGTCAGTTAGGTGTAAATGGAAAGGTCGGAATGTTAAACAGTTTTACAAGATCTTTTTCTTAGATTACTAATAACCCAATTACGCAAAGTTTGTTATTGCGTCTAATCAGTGTGGACAATAATTGTATCACAAAGTCAAAATACATATTGTATAAGAAAATTTCAACTGTCATAAGTATATTTTTGTTAAAAAATTCATGCACATCATAAATGAAACATTGGTTTTCATTAGCAGCATTTTTAAATGCCAGCTCTGGGAGGAAGAAAGGGGCTATTGAAGTGAGAAACACTATTAATTTCAGGTCAACAAGCTTTCAGAAGATTCTGCAAAAAAAGAAGACTCAAAGGTTCTACGGAATCCGCGTTCCATTGTTGGATTGGTACTTATTTTTGGTGCTATATTTTTTCTGAGTAGCTCTTTCTGTAATAATTGAAGCCAAATTTTTAACACTGATCGTTTAAAAGTGGCGTGTGATCGGTAGACAACGACGATATATAAGTAGTATCGAGATGATCTGTGCCTTCTTGAGATTAATGACTACAATTAAAAGAATGAAGAAGGATTGTTGCAGGCTGCACCTCTACTGGCATTTGCTCTTGGTGCATGGCAATTACAACGCTTGCAATGGAAAACAAATTTATTGAAAAAAATAGAAGATAAGATGAAGCAGGAAGTTGTGCCATTTCCAGAAGATAAGTAATACTTTGAAAACATTTCAATAAATTTTCATTCTATCTAGTAACAGCGTGCGCCGAATAATATAGTAAATTAACTGATTTCTGAAAAAAAGCTAGTTAAAGAAAAGCTCTGTATATTTTCAAGTGGCCTTCATGTATGTACATAATTAAATATCCGATGGACAAAAATTCGGTGAATTTAGCTTGCTGTTATTGGATGATCTTGAATATGCAAAGGTGAAAGTAACGGGCGAATTTCTTCATGACCATGAATTTTATGTTCAGCCAAGGCAGCGATTTGATAAAGGTGAATCTCTTCTTGCGATTTTTGTGCTATGTAAAAAAGTGAAATAGAAATGGAATTTTCAGATGGAAGTACATCGAAAAGTCGACCTCCATTGAATAGTTTTTCGAGCCCTGGTGCGCAAGTTATTACTCCGTTTAAGCTCCATCCATCAGGGTAAGTTTTCAAATACAACAATTCATTTGGACTTAAATAAGATGTTATTTGTTTACTTTATGATTATGCATATTTAATATCTAACTATCAAAAGTGGTGATATCCTGCATTTATTAATAGGATTCAATTTCCACTGTATCATAAAATTAAAAAGTCGGTATTATTTTTTTCTTTGCTCTATCAATTTTTTGTCCAATTTTTTTCTTTTTTGTTCGAAGTTTTTTAATATAAGTTATGGGCAGTTTTTATCCAGTAATATCATTCTGGTCAATCGCGGTTGGGTCCCTCCACAAAAAATTACTCCTGAGAGTCGAAATCAAGGACAAGTGCAAGGGCAGGTCACTTTTGATGCTGTAGTTCGTCACACTGAAGAGGTAAAGCACTTTTATAAAAAAGCACTTTTACTTAAAGCACTTAAAGCACTTTTACCCAACTTCAAAGGCCTATTTTTGCCTCTCTGATCCAGTTTTAAGTTTAAAAAAGCATCAAAAAGTTTTGAGTTGTAAACCTAAAGAATATTATGATCAATACACTCAGTCATTGCCGATACGGTTTTATAAGGATAATTTTCATTTCTTTCTTCTTTCATTAAACTAGTGATTTGTTTGTTTGTTGCAAAAATGAGCAGAAATTATCATCCCTTCCCAACTTTCAATTTAAATTAATTTCAGAGGCCCTCTTTTATCCGAAGAAATGATCCTGACAAAGGACTTTGGTTTTATACGGATGTTAAACAAATGGCAGAGAAACATGGCACTCTACCAATTCTTGTTGATGCATGCTATGGTATGAAGATTTGAATTCTTGACAATTACACTATGAAATTTGCAATTTGAAATCTTTTATATAGCAACAAAATCATGCTTAGATAATACGGCATTTAATTTTTCATAGGATCCTGTCTGGACCGTAGTTAACTCATTATTTTAGAATCCAGTATTCAAGGTGGTCCAATTGGAGGTCAGACACGAGTAACCCACAGAAACGATCATATGATGTATGCCTGTTTCTGGTTAGTTCAAGTCATAACTTGCTTTACTTCCATCTGATATTTAACGTTCCTTAACATGCGTATTTTCTTTCAGGTTCTCCATTGGAGCGGCGACTTTGTTTGGATGGTTCCTTTAAAAGTTGTTTGAAGTTAGAATCTTAGAAATATAATTTTTGCAAACAAAATCTAAACGAAGCGCAAGTGCGATAGAAATTTTTATAGGCCTTCTTTTTTTCGCTGCTTTGTCAAATAAAATTCTTGAATCATTTTTGTTTTTTTCCACTTCAAAAATTTTGTTACGGATTTGAATTAAGAAGTTAGCTAATAATTCTTAGATCTATTTTCTTCTTAGTTCGTATTACAAATGTTTTATAAAGTATCCTTGTTTCATTTGATAATCAGTTACTTAAGAGGGGCAAAATTTATCAACATTATGGTGCTACTTCTGCAAAATAAGTGGTTTATATGGGTGCTTCAGATTAAGTTTTTGGAATGCTATTCTTCGAAACTTAACCTAAGTCATCAAGATATGGAGTACTTCTCAAAGATGAAATGAAAGCGTAACAATAAGAGAAGAAATAAATAAAAGAAAACAATTTTCATGAAGACTGAACTCAATTTCTGTATGGTCCAATAAATGTCCGGAATTGGGAGTTGTCTGCTCAAATCTATAATAAGCTTGATAGAAAATCACATTTTTTATTATTCCCTGGCTTTAATTTCGTCATCACCATTTCGTTTATTATAGCATATGACTGTTTATAAATACTGCTTTACTTAGTTACTTCCATCATCAACAAACATTGAACAACGTACATTGTTCTTCTAATTGTGCTAACTTATTATTTTATATTACGTGTTAGAAAAACCGTCGTCTCAATTGTCCTTTAAGTGTTCTTTCCACAACACTACTGAATTAGTTGTCGTATTTATTCTGAAAAAATTCGGAACTGGGATTTTACATAACATAATGCAATATGAAGATCAAGGAGAACTTTTAAAACGCATAATTTTTCAACAAATGAAATAAATTTGATTAGAATTTTTTTCAAAAGTAAGATAAGTGTTTGTAAAACCTTTTTTAAAAAGTATTGCAAAAAATGAACAACGGAAATAGCATTTCTTGTTATCATACTATCGTTTTCCCACTTTTCCCATTTATAAAATCGAATTAAAATGAAAAAGGTGGAATGGTTCAGAAATAAACTATTTCAATCAATATACCTCATACTATCTCTAGTCATTTGATCCTTATTATGCT